ACCTTCAAAGGTTCTACTGTTACAGAAATAGATCTATCTCTGTAGGTAGCTAACAAATGGGTATTTAAAATGTGACTAGTCTACAATATACTTAGAAAATTATTCTTATAATTTGTATTCACATTTTTTTTGCCTGAGAAGAGTATTATTTTACAATCCTGTAGAGGTGCTTTTGCTTTTATCAATTCAGTCATGTTTTATTACATAGAACTGAGAATTGAAGTAGTAGATGTAGGTCATCTGAACCTGTGAGAAATGTGCCTTGGGCATCAGCAGCTCTGAACATTGTCTTTCCCATACAGTCACTGCTTGATTATCACTGGTTTTTTAAACTATAACATTGGTGAAACTGGCAGTTACTTCTGAAGTTAACACTGTACCTGTGTCCACTGCATTTACTATTGTCGGGTTCTAGGATTATAAAATCTATTTTAAATTTCTTGAATATTCAGAGTTGTGCTATACTAAGAATGTACTTAAATCTCATATTCACAAGCAAAGTAAGAGTTTTGGGTAGCCGGTAGTAAGCTCTGCAGTATTATAAGAGAAAGGTTGAAGTAAAATGGAAAACCCACTATTTATGTGGAAGTGTCTAGATGAAGAAGCTTTTTATTTCTCTCCAGTACCTGAGTTATGGCTTGGTGTTTCAGCTGAGATGACTCATTCACAACTTCACCTTCTAAAAATTATGTTGCAGCTGAGTAATGTTGTTCAGATCTGAATTAAGACTGGAATGCTGAATTTTGGTTGACATTTTCTTCTTATCATATTATCTTATCCCTATTTATTACTTGATTTTATAGATGTACTTTTCTTGTTGATTACTGTTTGTTACTGAAAAACTCACTGTCTACAGATATAACCCTTCCTTTATTTTTGTGTATTCAGTACAGAATCATGCTTTAAGACTTGCATTTCTTTAAATGGAGTTGTGTTTCACTAGAAAATACTGGGCTCCCTCTTTTTTTCTCTGATTTTTCATGCTACGCTTCCACATTTTTGTAGTAATTAATTTTTCTTTTTTTTTGCTATTAGGTTTTATTGATATTTAACATCTAGAAGGACCATATAGCACTTCATTACTTAGTCTGAGGGTTTTTTTGATAAAACCAGGGAAGAGATTGAAGTAGTGATAAAAATATCCTTTAAATCTCTTTAGCAAATAGAAGAGAAATTGGAAGTCAGGAATGGAACATTGTTCAGATGGTTGGTTTTCTAGGTACATTAAGAATTTGGATTTCCCCAAACATCCAGCAAAAATCATGTTAAATATTTTGATCTTTTACACACCAGTCCCCCAAACTACTGAACAGTTGATTCAAATCCAATCAAGTTTATATAATTTGTTGTTATCGTTTTTCTTGAATTACAAATACCCCTATACTTATCAAGTAAAGTGAGAAACTTGATACGTTCCAGAGACTGCTGTCAATATGACTTGTGTTTGAGAATCCATTATTCTTCCTATCCTTTTTTTTTGGTCAGATATAAAATACATTCAAATGATCCTAAGGTTTGCAAGAAGTGTGTAGAACTCACAGTGCAGGAAGTGGCTATTTTTGTTCACAAGGGATTGTGGGACTGTATCATGGTGGCATCATGAGTTTGCCTCTCAGTTGACATATGGTGAGTTAATAAATAGGTTGTTGGTTGCAGCTTCTACGTCAGTAAAATAATATTTTGTTAGAGTAGGATATTTTTCCTTCTGTTTTTCTCCCTGTGTTTACAAGCTGCCTGGTAGGGTTTTTTTATCCTAACCTTTATCTGAACATTAAGTGTGGGTACTCAGCTAGCAGGGAATGTAGGCACTCACTGGTTCTAACCCTTTTATTTGGGAATGGAGATCCACCCTCTTCTGCTGTAGCCCTGGTGTGCCTGGGGTATGTGCCTCTCTGTGTATATAGAGAGGCTTTGCGTTGCCGTAGTTCCTGCTTTTGAAATAAGTAGGGCTGGAAGATGTATCTAGGGAAGATTAAAAAGGGAGAAACTTTTCTATGCTCACCAATGCAGCTTGATGGTGATGATGGTGGGAGTTTCCTGTTTGTTTGTTTGTTTTTATTATTTGGGTTTTTTTGTTTGTTTATTTTGTTGGTGTTTTGTTTTTTGTGGGTGTTTTTTGTTCCTTCTTTTTGTTTTGTTTTGTAGTTTTGAGGGCTTGTTATGCTTAGTTGTTAGGTTTGGAGGTGAAGGGTTTGATCTCACTCCGCCCTTTCATAAGAGAAGCATAAGAGAACCATAAGAGAAGCAGGTGATTTTCTTCAGGTTCTGTGTCTATGTTTTTATTTTACTTGAAAGATACAATTTTCAACTATTGTGAGTTATAGGAAAAAGACTGAGAACAATGCTTTGAGAATTTTTTAAATTCTAAAGAGTACTTCAAAGTGTAGTGCTGAATTGTTTATTTTTAAGGCTAATTTAAGTGCTAAATGCAATTTGAACTGCTTTAAATAATGCATATTATATTTAGACCTGCACATTTTCAAAAGCAGACAACAGTATGATCCTGGTACCTGATTGTAAGACCTTATTTATTAAGAGCTCTGAGTGATGATGACTCTGATAGAATATAAACTCTGCAGACATTGAGAGTTATGCCTGACCAGGACTTCAGTGACAGGCCATCTTCTGCTGTACATAATTATAACTTTAAATGTTCATATTGAATTGCTTAGTATATTCATAATATGCCTGGGAACATGATATGGTCAGGAGAGGTTGTTATTACTGAGCAAAATATATGTGGCAATTTCAAAATGCTCCACATTTCAAACCTCTTTTTCTGTTCTCTGGATGTTGTGTATATCCACACAGAGCAGTTACTTCACTTTCCTCATTTTACTGATGGAGAAGCAAACACAAATTATTTTCCAAACTAATTGGAAAGGGGACTGGGGGGATCTAATGAGGTTAAAAATCATGCAGTCAGGCCAGTGAGGTATGGTTTTGGTTTCCTTAACTAAATTAATAATCTACTGAATTAAATAATATATAATTTGACTGCATCAAGAATTTTGTGTAAAGATTTCAGGATTAATTCCTTGATAGAAGCTGAATACCCCAGATACCCTTTGAGATAAGGAACAACTCATTTCCCTTTGCACCATTGTAGATACTGTGGAATTATTATAGGTTGGATTTGCATATCTATGTTATTTTAGATTTTCTTTACAAATAGTCCAGGGAAATAACACAAGCAACTGATTTTTAATCCAATTTTTTCATATAGTTAAGGATTTTGGATGAAATATACTGGTTTAATAGTGCTTAGTTTTAGCCTTTAGCATCATAGAAACTCCATAGATTAGTAGCATGAAATTTCTTTATTAAGAACAACAATTCCTCACATTTCTTCTACTCACTGAAGAGTTCCTTGTTTTAAGTTAGTGTAAGAATATTTCTGATTTATTTTTCTTGAATAAACTATTACGTGTAAAATCACGATAGCACCAGTGTTTATTTGTTTTGTAAAGTAGGTCTGATACATAAATAAAGTTAAAATGCATTTCTGTTTCCTGTTTTTTCATAAATTGTTAAAAATGCTAAATATAAAGAATATAAGGAACAGATTAAATTTTATTGAATAGGATAAACTGATAGATTATTATATTTCAAAGGAAATACATCTGATATTACAGAGCAAAACAGCTACTTCACTCAAATTACTTTAGCAAATAATTGGTAAAATTGGTCTTTTTTCAACAGCTTTTCATGAAGGAAAGAATTCAATGGGAATATTGTCAAACAGATTGAGACTTTTTGTCCTGAGTTCTGTTTGCTTTTCATGTGATTTGCCTTGTCATTTTGGGCAAGATATTTAACTGACTGCCTGTTTACCAGTCCTTGAAGAGGAGAATAAAACTTAATGTTTTTTTTTTGTCTGTACACAACCCTTTAGAAAGCAAGTGCTAAGGAATGTATGGGATTTTCATTCTAATACAATTTCTAAAATAACTTCCAGGCAGAAGTAGATTGGAAAGAGCAACTTATTATTTGAAGGTAATTTGATAGCAATTTTTTTTGAAATATAATACTCCAGGAATGTCGTTCAGTATTAAAGTAGGAAGTCTTCTGCTTTGTCGACAGTTTAATTACAAAATTATGTGGATATTTAGAATGAGCAGAGGATGTCGGTTTGGAAACCAATTCAGCATTGATAGCATTTGTTCCTCAGTTTGTTCTTGTAGAGCATCAGGTTATTCTTAGATGAGAGCAGAGAGGAAAAAAAGTCGCAGATTAAGCTTCTATAACTACTTATGAAGCAGACTAATCATGGGATTTCCTAATTATTGGAATTAGGGTTCTTTGTCTCCTATTGATATTCTCCTTGAATATTACATAAAGCTGATTTAAATAATTGAATACTTTTTAAGCTTAGAGCATGCTGGGAAATTAAAATGAAGCTAAATACTTTTGCGTCTTGATTATGGCTTTTCAAACAGTATCAGCCCTGAACATAAGCAGTTTACATATATGATATTTTAAGAAACATTTCTAAAATTATTTTCCCATTTTGTGATACCTTTTTAGGTATCACAGATACAGTATCATAGATACTGATGCTGTGAGACTTGCATAATACAGTTATGCATTATAACTGATACAAAAGGGTGAGAAATGCTCTCTTCTTACTACTGGAAACAAACTATTCCCACTGAAACACTAACCTCAGTTAACTTATGGTTTTTTATGTACCTCTTGGGAATCCTGAGCATGGTTCTAGTCAGACCTTGAATAAGATATGATTTTTATTTATATACTGTATTTGTCATAAATGTAAAGAATTTTATTTCTGTGGACATCAGAATACAGTGAATTTGGTTTAGAGACAGTGAAATATTGTGTAACTTCTTATCTGTTTCTTTCAAACTCTAGTGCACTATGCAATATAGTATATAATACAAAGAAGTTCAGTGTGCTTTAAAACCTGAATATTAAGTCTGATGTTTAATTCTGCTCAGTGCTGTAGCCTAATTCTGTTCCCACTACTTTGTTCCTTCCAGGACATGAGAGACTGCTCCCGTGATGGCAGAGGTTTGTGGGAAAGATTTTGTTGAACACTATACGACTCTTAAATGCTAAAAGCAGAAGGCACTAGCTGGTAGCTCAGTGTGGAGCAAAAATTTTATTTTAAACTTCAAAAATAATTATGTCAAAGAAAAGTCGTGCCAAGGGAGAGAAGTCCGAGATGGAGATTGAAGCCCTGCAGGCTGCTAATGAGGAGCTACGAACTAAACTAACCAACATCCAGATAGAATTTCAACAAGAAAAAAGCAAGGTATTTGTCTATCTATATTTTCTGATCGTTCTTCTTAACAGTAGCACTGTTAGAAACCAGCAGAGTTTCGTACTAAAATGCATTAACCTTAAAAGAAAAACTTGACAAAGTAGTGAAATCAGAAGAATCACCGATAAACTGAAATTGGTGCCAACTCTTCTAAATGACATGCAAAAGGAAGTAAATATCCTCAAACATCCAGTCGCTGAAATTTGCAGTCACAGCAATATAAATGGCATTAGCTTACTATGACTTAAAGGCAAGGGAGTTTTGTCATTTATCTTAGCATTGAAAACTGTATGTCGTGAAAAGAAAAATCTTTTGTTTTCAAAATCAAACATTGGCACCTTATTCAAAATGCATCACTATGGAAATTATCTGTGTAGGAGTTCTGATTTGCTTTGCTGAGGTTATGATGCATCTGATTGCTAATGAAACAGATCCATCAATATTTATCTGTCCAGCACATGTTCAACAGCTGTTTTGGTAATCAAGAGAACACCTAGAATTATTAATTCATGAAGTACATATATATTTATAAAGATTAGTATTTACTTTTATATATCTCTGTAGACAGTTGAAAATATGGACAAGGCAGTAAGCTTATTTGTATTCTATTAGTTTTTTAGTCTCAATGAGTGCATTTGACTTTGCACAAGACAGTTCTGGAGATTAATCCATGTGCAAATGGATTTATCTGTGTTTCTTTGGTGATATTGTAGTTGCAAGTGTCCAAAGACTTATCAGTGGAAAAAGTATGCACTGAAAATGTGTCCACTTTATATAACATAGCTTTGTTCTAGCCTTGGGTTTTTATATGTGTAAAATGTGAAACACTTGAATAACAGTATTTCTGTATGTTCCAGTTTCTTTAATAGCCTTATGTGTTACTCAACTTTGAATGGTCTTATTTTTCATATTTTAATTTACAAAGCAAACCAAGAAATACCTGAAAATGCAATCTTCAGAATTTATTTCTTACAGAAGAAAAAGAAATAATAAAGCTTTAATTTTTGTTTGATGCAATAGGTTCAGTATATATCAGCCAACTAAATCTGTGTTGCCTTGGAAATTTTTCTTCTTTCCAGACTAAAGCAACAAGTTATATCTCTTATACATCAGGAGTACTGATGAGTGAACAGAAATGACAAGGGTTTTGCTATTGGCTTCCTCATCCAGCTTCTCCTGCTCTTTTTTGACATAATGAGAATAAATTTTAAAATAAGTGGCACAAACTACTTGTGCTTCTTAAAATCACACACCATGGAATTTACTAGTGGCTGATACCCTCTATAGTTTTCTGGGTGACAAATTGTGTTATTTCACTGTCATTTTTAGCATCTCATTGTTCCTATTTGGAGACTTGTTAGCTGATGGTAGATTACATTTACATTAGTAAATTCTTCTTTTTAGTTATTTTTTCTTATTTCCTATTTTGTTCTGTATGACTTTTTATATACAGATGTGAATTTTATTATAATTTTTTAAATTGTATTAAAAAGAACATATGATTATAAAATTATCATATACCTTGAACAGAAGAATGAATTAATTTTGAGTTCTTAAAGTACTTGGATTCTAAAAAATCCACGAAAACATTACATGAACGCTAGGAAGAGTTTAACCCTGATGCACTTCCAGGTTTGATACTTTACCTGTAATACCATCACGTTAAACTTTGATTCAACTAAGAATGAGGTGTAATTACAAAACCATAACAGCTGCAGGAATGTTTTCTATAACTAGTCTGTTTACTTACCTGTATTCAATGCAGTAAGATTTGCTTCAGTTTGGTTACTTGTTCATCTTTCTGCAGCTTGAGAATGTCATATTTTCTAGTATATTGAGGTTGTTATCAGAGACACATCTGTGTATTGTGCACATATATCTGCAGAGAAATGAGAGAACTCACATATGTAATCTGTAGATGGATATGAAAGAGGAAATTACAACTAGTAATTGCATTGCAGTCTGCAGTAGATTCTGCAATATGTTGGAGTGCGTTTCTGGGAAGATGCAAGTGGGGAAGGAGATCTTCAACCTCTTTCCCACACCTTTGCTGTGGTGCTTGCTCTAAATCATTTAAGTAGATTTGAACCACACAGTATATTTCCCAGCCTACTCTCAGTCTGTGCAGCATTTATACAGGATGCCTTGACTGACAAGATGAGTAAATCAAAGCCATAGGGATTTTTCTGGTTTAGACTGTAGTTTAAAAATGAGGAACAAAACCAACAGAAATTATGTCTTGGTATCAGAAAAGTAAAAACACTGTACTTAGAGAATTCTAAATAAAATAGATAGCTTTACTGGCACAGGAGTAAGAGAGAAGTATTGAAGCTGCTAAACAGACAGCACTGAGGCCCATGGGACATAAACTGTGTCAGGAAAGGTAACAAACTCTTTTGGGGCAAATTAATTTAATTTTCCTAAATTATTTTGTCCCTCATGCATATGCCTATATTAATGTTTTATCTGAGAAGGAACATTCTAATTGATGAGAGATGTCAGAAATGGAAATCAGTCTTACCATACTTCTGCCTGCAAAATACTGCCTTCTCTGAAATAAAATTTTACCCCAGACACATCCAAAACTTTGTACATATTTTCCAAGTTCATTTTGTTTCACTGTTTGTTGATCCATTTATAAAAATTTCTTCTCTAAAGTTGTTTTCCTGCATGCTTATGCAATACCTGATCCAAAACTGATGCGTTTGCAGATCTTCAAAGGTGCATCATCGTAGGTCTTGCTTGGTGGTGTTTTGGGCATCAGACATATGAGTAGCTGGGTTCATTTAAGAATGGGTGAAGAAAAAGCAGTGGCCCTGCTTTAGTTCCTATGTACTGCCTCTTGTTTTGGGAACACTTGTTTGATAGCTTTGGGCAGCCTGTTGATAGATAGCATGTCCTCCTGGACTGTAGGTTTGCTGCCATCTATGGAGATGCTGGAGAAGGAAATGCATGAACTGAACAGGGGTTCACATACTGCCCTTGCTTGGCTACTGAAAAAACTTGGTTGGAAGACATCCAAAATTTGGGTATTGAGTAACCAAGAGAGTTGACTGAAGCACAAAAATTATACTTATTTCAACATAAGTGGAGGTAGGACTTGCTCTGACTGAATCTTAAAGTCTGGTACAGTGAGCACAAGTTGCTGCAGTGAGTGAGCATGGTCTTGGCAGTCAGCTCAGTGGTTTTTTTAAATGCTTGTACCGAGATACATGAATATTTGGGAAAAAGTATTACAAAGTACCTATTCCTACTGAGATAGTTAGCATAAATTAGAAGGTAGTTTTCTGATACTCCCAAGTAATACTCTGTTCTTGACAGCAAGGTGTTGTAGTGTTTGCTGTCACTATTACTCCATCTTCACCCAGTTTAGTTATTGTTTTTAAATATCCATTTTCTGCTTGTGACTGTACCTTTATACTTGAGATCACAACATCTGGAAATTAGGATAAATGAGATGTTTCAGCTCAGTTGCCACTATATCACCTCACAATTGCCTAGATGGTTTTCATAAACCTCATGCTTTTCCCAGATTTCTTTGGGGTTTTTGAGCTTTGATGTTGGATGTTGAATCTGTTGTAGGCAGAAAAAAAATCTGTTTTCAATGTGGGAAATTTAAAAAAAAAAAAGAGAGCATGTCATACAATCAAGACAGTTTTATTTACTGGGGATTACAAAAGTAATATGGAAAAGAGTTACGGGCAGTAAGGATGGAAAAACTCTAAATACAGCTGTTGATTTGAGTATCCAGACATTCTGGATATATATATATGTATATATAAATTGTTATTCCCATAAGCTATGTATGGATTAAGAAAGGAGCCGGTTAATTTGCTGAACTATAAGGACTGTACTGAATAGCAAGGAGAAACTATGGTATTATGTTTGGGAGTGAAATATGGTAACCTTCTTGGAGCAGGGAAATGGCTGAAGTGTTGGTGAATCAAGACACTACTGAGTGGGATTCAGAGGAGGTGCATCCCTTTGGGTAGGTTGTTTCCTGACAGCAGTTGAAGGGCATTTGAATTCAGCTGTTCTCTACACTTGATATATAAAAGTAAATTCTGAATACTTAACAAAAAAATCACTGAAACAAGAGAGTTTTGGACATCTGAAAAACATTGGACAGCAAATAACAAAGTAATTAGGAATAGATGTAGCAGCATTACTTCAACCAGAATTCGAAATAATTAAATGAGTGAATATGCTAGCCATAATAGTGCAATTTCTAACCCAGGTAAAACAGTCAAGAGAAGTGAGACATTACTAAACAGATGTTAAGCAATGATTATCACTAGTTTAGCTGGAATTTTGCTAGAAGAAGTTGACAGAAAACACAGTGGAAGAGATCCTAAAAAATTTTGATGGTGCAATTCTACTCACAACTGTAGTAGAACCTTTAAAATTAATGTATCTTATCAGATTATGAGTGTTCTGGTTTTAGTTGAGATAGATTTAATTTTCTTCATGGTAGCTCGTATGGAGCTATGTTTTGGATTTGTGCTGAACAGTGCTGGTAACACAGTAATGTCTTAGTTATTGCTGAGCAGAGCTTACACAGAGGGCTTTTCTGCTTCTCATCCCTCTCTACCAGAGAGGAAGCTGGGGACGGTGTTTTCATTTGCATCACTGGTCTTTTTTGGGCTTTATTTTCCTCTCTATTTTTTTCTCTTACAATGTTTTTATTATATTTTATATCTAGTATTAGGTTTTTCTCTCTAATTCTTTAATTCTTCTTACCTCAAACCACTTTCATCCTTCCAATTCTCCCTCACCCCACCAGAGTGGGGCAAAGTGAGAAAGCAACTGTGTGCTGCTCAGTTGCTGTTGGGGTTAAACCACATAACTGAACAGTGAGTACAAATTCATTTAGACAATGTCTGATATGGTGGAGTCGTGTCTGACTGGACATTGCCTAGACCATCTTGCTCTGGTTGACCCTGCTTTGACCAGGGCTGTACTAGATGACCTCTGGAGATTCTCTGCAACCT